TTTTATTTTATTTTATTTTATTTTATTTTATTTTATTTTATTTTATTTTATTTTTAATGTTTATTTGCGGGGAGACAGAGCATGAGCAGGAGAGGGGCAGAGAGAGAGGGAGACAGAGAATCCCAAGCAGACTCCAGGCTCTGAGCTGTCAGCACAGAGCCCAACTCAGGGCTCAAACTCAGGAACTTTGAGATCATGACCTGAGCCGAAGTCAGCTTCTTAACAGACTGAGCCATCCAGGCGCCTCAACAGTCATGTCTTTAAATTGGATTAAAAGAAAAAAAAATAGAAGGGTGCCTGGGTGGTTCAGTTGGTTAAGTGTCCAACTTCGGCTCAGGTCATGATCTCAAGGTTTTTGAGTTCGAGCCCCATGTCAGGCTCTGTGCTGACAGCTGGCTCAGAGCCTGGAGCCTGCCCTGGATTCTGTCTCCCTTTCTCTCTGCCCCTGCCCCGCTCACACTCTGTGTCCCTAAAAAATAAATAAACATTAAAAAAATTTTTGGTTTTAATTAAAAAAAAAAAAAGGGAAAAAACAGCCGACTTTAAATGTCTGATTATTTTTTTTTTTAATTTTTTTTTTCAACGTTTTTATTTATTTATGGGACAGACAGAGACAGAGCATGAACGGGGGAGGGGCAGAGAGAGAGGGAGACACAGAATTGGAAACAGGCTCCAGGCTCCGAGCCATCAGCCCAGAGCCTGACGCGGGGCTCGAACTCACGGACCGTGAGATCGTGACCTGGCTGAAGTCGGACGCTTAACCGACTGCGCCACCCAGGCGCCCCTAAATGTCTGATTATTGATAACAATAGGGGCCCCTGGCTGGCTCCATTGGAAAAGCATGTGACTCTTGATCTTGGGGTTGTGAATTCAAACCCCATGTTAGAGGTAGAGATTACTAAAAAAAAAAAAAAAAAAAAAAAAAGAATTTTCAAAAACAGAAGAATTGATTATTGATAGCAATTAAGAAAAGTTAAAAGTCATTTGAACCACATTAAGAATTCCTATTATTAAAACTCTGGAACATTTCATTTAGGTTTTTGAAAAAATGAGAATGTATTTATATTAATATTATATTTGATTTCTGTAATCTACTTAAATAATGTACTGTGTTCTGTGAAATCATTAAGTCTCATCTTTTATAAGAATGTTTTAAAATGATTATACACATATGATAGTAAGTCATTGACAAAAATTTTAGAAAAATGTACATTCAATTCATTATTAATTTAAAACAAAAATACAATTTTACACTTATTCTTAATAACTAAATAGGGGAGATATAACAAGTGAATACTTTTGATAAAGAGTTTTTTAGAATTCAACTTGAGTAAATTCCATCTTTTCATTTTCAACTGCTTTCGTGTAGACTCATACCTTTACACTAAAATCCCTTTAATTTTTGTCATTCATTAACAATGCAGACCATATTTCATGTGAGGCGTGCGTAGCTATCTTTGACTCAGTACTTAATTTCTCAGGGACTGACAACGAGATAAGTCACTGGTAATGATGTTTCAAAATGCCTTTGTATATGGACAAAATGACATTGTCCTCTTCATTGCACTGGGACATGTTTAAAGGTAAAGGAAAATCTGACAAATTCTAGCTATTCATCTTCCATGAGTCTTCTAGGTGCTTGGAATAAATCCTCCCAACTGTATAACAGCCCACTCTAATGCAGAATTTAGCTTAATGTGGGCTTGTTCTGGATTCCTTCCAAAGGGAGGCAATTATCTTTGGAAGTACCCAAGAACTCATTTTTATAGCCTAGTCTGCTGCAGAGATCACTGAATGGGTTGATGATGGTGATGATGAGGATAACAATATGGTAATAATAGCTGCCACGTTTACTTATTCAATTTCCGCTCTTTTATTAGCTGTGTGACATTAAGAGGGTTTCTTAATCCCTCTGTATCTCCTTTTCCTCATCTGTAAAATAGGGGGTCACAAAAGTACTTACCTTATGTTACTGTTTTAAAATTAAATGAGATAATCCACGTAAATGTTTAGTGCAGTGTTATTATTTCTGTTGTCACTATTATTATTACTATGTTTCAGAAAATTTTTCTGATCCCCCTTACTGAGCACTTACTATGTGACTGTATCACATAGGATGTCACTTATTGCCATGTTAAAAACTTACCTCATTTCATTTATAATGCTTATAACCCAACAAAGAGAGTAATATTATCATTATATCTTTGCAGATAGAAATCAAGATAACAGATTTTTCAAGTGTCATAATGATAGTAGAAATAGACTTGAACACCTTTGTTGGACTGAAAGTCTTTGAAGGGCATTAACATGAAAATAATGCAGTGAGGAGAGATTACAGTTAGAAATACTCTTCTCTTTAAAAACAGTTTTATACAGAAAATTTCTACTCTACACTTAAAATAATTGAGATGACTATATATTTTATAGGCCATGACCAACAACAATTGCATGTGATTTCAATGCATTTTGATGCATTTGATTGCATCAAAAATTGGTTCTTACTTCTATCCATTGTAAAGAAGGTAGTTGATTGGATTGGTCATTAAATGATTCTCACTAGTCCACTGTGATATGCAAAAGACATAGTGGCATTTTTCCTGAGTTACTAAGAAGCTGTGTAGAACCAGGCACTTATTGTTCACTGGATTAACTTCTATGATTACACTGAAATTAAATTTTTACAAACAAGATTTAGAAGCAGTGAAGCAAACTCAGGGTAA